AAGATTTATACATAAAACGAGAAATAACAATAGACTATATCCGTTCAACAGAAAATGTGAGTGATATTTTGACAAAACCTTTAGCGAAAGAAAAATTCGTTAATTTAAGAAACGTATTTCTAGAAAAATAACTACATTACTGACCGATTAACCGAAGCAAAACCAATCGTGGAAGCGTTCTTAGAAATAGTTCTGTAACAACGAGTTTTATAAGAAACCCTAATAATAATAATATAGTTAAGAGAAATCGTTCTTTTTAAATAAAGAACCAACAAAATCAAGTCAATATTTAAGAATATCAAGAACAATAAGCGAGGATATTAAACGATGTTAAGAGATAGCATAATCCCATGTTGACAGATATCAGATACGATATTTAGGGGTATCACGGATATTGGAGGACATTACAAACGAACTCGATAGATACCAAGGATGTAGTAGGCAGGACATATCTGGGACGATGTTTAGGGATATCAAGAAAGACTGTTAATGATAACTGTAATGATATTGGGAGACATTATGATATCAAGAATCATATTGAAACATATTGAGAGATGTTAAAACAGTGTTAAAAGAGATTATGGATAAATGTTTAAAGATGTCAGGAATGATGTTAAGAAATGCCGTAGGCAATATTGAGGACCGCCAGGCCGATATTAAAAGTTGTAAGAGAAGATGTTGAGAGTTTCAAGGGCAATAATGTTATACAGGGTGCGGCAAAACTCCCTTCCTACTTTGAAGGGAGTTAACACGAATGGAATCTACAGAATGGGAAGTTACGTTGTTATGTTTTACAAGTTTCTTTTTTTGAACAGTATATCGCTTAAGTGTTTTCCTTCGTTATCAATGCATTGCCGCATGCGAGTTCGGAAGTTACCGTTATTGGAGTGCACAAAACCCTCGGAAACTCCATGAAAAGCCATAAAAGCCATAGTAGACATGATACCGTGTGCCTGTACTTTTTTGAAGAAGGAGGAGTGACAGTGACCGTTAACTCGGATCGATACATTCACCTGCTTCAAACTTTTATGGCACCACGATTCAATACGGTATAGATTCAACAGTATGTGTGGCTTCAACAGGACGGGGCTACTGCTCACACAAACAGGAGATCTTTTCAAGAATTAAGCCAGCTTGATCTCCAGATCTTACTCCCTGTGATTTTTTGTATTTGGGTTTTTTAAGGGTGAAGTTTACAAACATCGTCCGAGGACTCTGCCAGCCATACGACAAACAATTCAAGAAGAGATTGCTCGTATTCTTCAAGAAATGTTGATTAGAGTAATGGTGAACTTCCAAAGTCGTATTCGGCAATGCATTGATAACGAAGGAAAACACTTGAGCGATATACTGCTCAAAAAGAGAAACATAATAACGTAACTTCCCATTCTGCAGATTCCATTAATGTTAATACAGTTTCGTTAATTTGTACCATCTGTTTTTTATTCAACTTCCAAATTAGGGAGGGAGTTTTGCCGCACCCTGTATGACCAGCTAGCTGTTGGCAGATATTATTTGTTGATAACGTAGACGATATTCGACAATGTCACAAGCAGTGATGGGCCCTGGGTAAATACCCGGCGGGTAGGTATTTATAAAATGGATATTTATCTTACACCGGCCCAGGGTAAATACCCAAACAGTACATATAAAAGTGATACAAGTAAAAATATAACAGATTCGGACAAAAATGTAGAGGAACATGATGAAATGGGCATTGAAAATAATCAGGTAACCACTGCTCATTCTTCATTCTTGCGACGATGATCTGCCCATTTCCACTTGAGCTTTGCCACAATGTTGACCGCATTATTTACGCCAGTTCTTCTTCGTAGGTCTTCATTTGGTATGTGGTCAGTCAGGGTTACACCCAGCATCAACCTCTCCAGCTTTCTTTGCATTACTTTGAGCCTCCTGGTAATGTCCACCGTTAATGTTAAAGTTTCAGAACCGTATGTCATAACCAAAGGAGGAACCACGCATTGATTGAAAGCCTTTCTTTTCAAATATACAGGAATATCGCTTATGAAGATGTCTATAAGTTTCCTGTAGGCTGCCCATGCGAGTATCATCCTTCTGTTTAGTTCGCTTGTTTGATTATTATCTTTCGATACACGAACCTCATGGCCAAGATATATGGCTGCGTTGTGAACCAACTGAGATGAGTACTTTAAAAACAATAGTGGAAAAGACAAGAAGAGATAGAGTTAGGAACAAAGTTGTAAGAGAATTTTGTGGATTCGGAGAAAAATAAAAAAATTTTATGAATACTTCCAACGAATGGAAGAAACCTGGCTGATTAAGACAGCAAGAGACCAAAGATTAGCTAGAAAGAGATCTCGGGAGACCAGGAAGTTGGATTTCCAGCTCTAATGTATCACCATGAATGATGCGTAAAAAACAGGTTACAACCTGAATAAAAGAAGAAGAATAATAAGATCTTAAACGAACTACTTAATTGGAAACCAACAATCTCATGGATCTTGGATTTGATGGAAGTGCAATATGACTAGAAAAGAATCAAACAACAAGAATTAATGAAGCACAAAAACTGAATTTAGTCATTAATATTAGACTTATACTTAATTCAGGACATTCAAAGTTGTTTTTCAAGCATTAAAGAAATCGTTAAATATTTTCGAAGAGTATTACGTAAAGCAGAATGGTCGGTAGTGAAAATATAAACTTTCCCGAAATATATGTACACTTTAAAGCTAATAACACCAGGAATGTGTATAAATTTGTTAGACAGTTAAGACAAAGGCACAAATCGCACACAGCTCTATGCTGAGATGGAAGAGGAAAAATAATATGTGATAGTGAAATGAATGACATTTGGAAAAATTATTTTCAAAACAAAATGATATCCAATGATATTATTTTGAGTGATGATTTTTAGGTATATCAAGGACCATATCTAAGGATATAAAGTATGAAAGAAATTAGAATAGTATTAAGAAATATTGGAATAGAGATTGAGGATATTAAGAACGTTGTTAAGAAATCCCATAGACAATTTTGAGGAAGAACAGGGACGATATTAAAAGATATCAAGGCCAATTTTATAAGATTATCAGCAAGCTATTAAGAGATGTTAGATTTTATGTTAACATATGTCACTAACAATGTTTATTGTTACTAAACAATATTCGAGGATATTAAGCACGATGTTGAGATATATTAGGACTGATCTGGAGAGATATTAAGGTTGCTGTTTAATGATATTAACGACGCTGTTGATAGAGTATGATGAATTTGTTAAGCAGGCCAAAGGCGATATTAGATTGAAATAGGGATGATGTTGAGGATTTGAAACAATAATTAAAGTTATCAAGGATGACAGTTAGATATAAGTCGTGGAAGATGCTTTAAGGGGGGCATGACATTAATAAGAGATATCAGCGATGATATTAAAAAACGATCTAGGGACACCAGGGATGATCTGGAAAAATATTAAGAACGATGTTTAATGAAGATATTGATAGAGGATGATGAAGATATTTAGCAGCGCAATGGCGATAAAATGGTTCTATGGTAAGGATGATGTTATGGATTTGAGACAATAATTAAAGATATCAAGCGCGATGGTTAGAGGTCATGAAGAATGCTTTAACGTGGACCAGGACAATGTTGAGACATATCAAGGAACCATGTTTAGTGGTATCAACAATTATATTGATAGGAACATGTTGAGAGATTTAGATATTATGTTAAGATTTATTAGGAACGATATTGATATATGTCTAAATTAGAAGATATCAGGTACGATATTCAGAGATATTAGGGATGAAGTTAACAAACGTCAAATAAATATCGTACATACATATATGTATAGCGATATCAAGGATAATAATGATAGATTAAGATCGAAATATTGAGAGATGTTAAGATATGCAAGGAACGATCTTAATGCTATAGACGTAGACGGTATTAGGGTTGGCATTCGAGATATTAGAAACGATATTAAGAGATATCAGACTGATGTTGAGAGATATTAAAGACGATGTTTACCGATATCATATGTTGACAGATGGTGATATTGGGGGAACATTAGAGACGATGATTAAAGATATTAATAGCAATAGGTATAAATAGAGATTACACAAAACTATTAGAGACCAAAAATTAAAAATTAAATAGGTAGAAATTATCATCAAAATATTCAAACAAAAAAACCCATATCATCATTATAATCTTAGCATGTTTGCTTCATATATTACAAAATAAACTAAGTGATATAAAATATTTAAATAAAAACATGTTTTTGAATGCAAGTTTGCATTAAGGAAATGAGATAATTAAATAAGATTAATAAAGGAAAACGTCGAAATAAAATTAAAATCGAAACTTTAAGAAAAAAAGAATTATTAAACTTCTTAAACATCAATCACCGAACTAACATGGAGGAGGAGGTGTCCGTTATATAAAAATATGTTCTGGAATACGGATTTTAGGCTGGTATAAAAAATTTAATATTCAATAACGTTATTAAAACTTGGTTTGTATTGAGTAGTACATCTCTGGGAATACCCAGTGTTCCACCTAATGTATTATAATAATGTACTAGGACCTATAAATATTTTGTAAATAAAAAAATAAATAAAAATTTGTTTGTCCGTGAAAAATGTGTCCGTTATATCCGAGGTTCGTTCTAACGAGGACCGTTATATCGAGATATTACTGTAATTTCATTAAAAAAAATCATAAATTATAACATAAATATGTTACAGTGACAGAACTCGTGATCGCTTATCACATCTGGCACATCGTCTTTAATTCATTTTATATAATTTACATGTACAACCTTCTAAATAGAAATCATGTGACAATTAATTAACCTTGTTAAGAATTAAATTCAATCGAATATTATTAGATTACTTGTTCCGAATTGGTTTCATTCATATTTTTCAATAAGTAAAAGTAATAATTAATTTTTCCTTAGGATAATTACAATGTTTGTTATTAAAGGAGAGAATGTAATAAAAAAAGTTAATACTCACGATTGACAGCACTTACACATTTTGGATAACTGGAGTCCTTACTTTGAAATCGATTTTCACAGAACATCGGATGTTGAAGACGATCAATTACGGAAACGGTTATTTTCTAAATGGTTTCACTGCAAAACATAAATGATAAATGGTGATTATGTCTCATATTTCTAATATTTCGATCGGTATTGTTGATGAGAGAGATTAAAAAATTGATAATGCCATGTTGTGATGAGCGTATAAACGACGTTGTTGAGATAGCACGGCAATAAATTATCAAGATCAATTGTAGATACTTGATATACAATAGGAATCTCAATTAAAACTTGATTGACTTTTTTAATAATAGATAAATAAAGTACGGTTTTTGAGAATTTTAAGTAAGGAGGTTTAAAGTTCACTTTAAAGTCTTCGAATATTTTAGTTGTTATTCATCGCGTATGGTGTTAGTAAAAGTGGAATTCGTATATGTTTAACTTTCACTTAAAACTGGGTGGTGAACGAAAGAAATTTAAACAGTGTATTAATTTCTTGTTTGTTGTTATGGGTAATATCTTTAACGAAGACATAATAATAATAATATCTAGTTGTAAGTCAGAATTTAAACTGAATATATTCAATTAACACTTTCTTTGTGCTGTGGCTGTTTTCTTTATTATAAACGTTTACGTTAAACGATTTAATAAACTTTAAAGAATTTCACATAGCTTTTGTAATTTGGTTTATAAATTTCAATTTTATAAATTTCATTTTATTGGGGTTTTCAAAACAGTTCAATAATAGTATCTTATAATTTTTATATCATTTCATAAATTAGAATCTTCAAACTTCAATTGAAAGTAATATACATATCATACCAAGATTCTTACAAATACGGTTGATATGTTTTTTTTTAAATATCTCGTTATTTTTGATTTATAAATTTGACAATTTTTCTTTAATATTTTTTTCCTGGAAATTTCAATAATACCACCTTATAATTTTGACATCATATCATAAACTAGAATCTTTTAGCTACAATTTAACACACATGTCATATCAAGATTCTTAAAAGTACAGTCTATATAATTTTTTGAATATTTCGTATTATTCTGGATTTATAAATTTGGTAATTTCTTCTTTAATATTTTTTCCTGGAAATTTCAATTATATTATCTTATAGTTTTTATGTCATCTCATGAACTTGAATCATTAAGCTACAATTTAACATATATATCATATCAAGATTCTTAAAAATGTAGTCAACATGTTTTTTTGAAAATATCGTGTTATTTTTGATTTACAAGTTTAACAATTTCTTTCTGAATAATTTTTTCCTGGAAATTTCAATAATATCATCTTATAATATTTATATCATATCATAAACTAGAATCTTTAAGCTACAATTTAACATACATGTCATATCATTATCTTAAACATACAGACAATATGATTGTTTGAAAATTTCGTATTATATTTGATTTATAAATTAGACAATTGCTTCTTCAATAATTTTTTCCTGGAAATTTCAATATCATCTTATAATTTTTATATCATATCATAAACTAGAATCTTTAAGCTACAATTTAACATACATGTCATATCATTATCTTAAATATAAGGACAATATGATTTTTTTGAAAATTTCGTATTATTTTTGCTATATAAATTAGACAATTGCTTCTTTAATAATTTTTTCCTGGAAATTTCAATAATATCATGTTATAACTTTTATATCATATCATAAACTAGAATCTTTAAACTACAATTTAACATGCATATCATATTAAGATTCTTAAAAGTACAGTCGATATGATTTTTAGAAAATTTATTGTAATTTTTGATTTGTAAATTTAACAATGTCTTTCTTAATAATTTTGCCCTGGAAATTTGAATAATATCATTTTATAACTTTTATATCATATCATAAACTAGAACCTTTAAGTTACAATTTAACATGCATATCGTATTAAGATTCTTAAAAATACAGTCGATATGATTTTTATAAAATTTATTGTAATTTTTGATTTATAAATTTGACAATTTCTTCCTTAATATTCTTTTCCTGGAAATTTCAATAATATTACCTTATAATTTGTGTATCATATCATGAACTAGAATCTTCTAGCTTCAATTTAACATACATGTCATATCAAGACTCTTAAAAATACAGTCGATATGACTTTTTGAATATTTCGCACTATTTTTGATTTATAAATTTTTTTTTTTTTTCTTCTTTAATAATATAATTAATTTATTAAGATGGGACAGATTGGTTGTATACCGTTAGTTAAATTTTTGTTAGTTCAATTTTCACATTTTTATATAATTTTTGACAATTGTTAATACAAACATAGCAAAATTACATTACTTTTTAACAACACATAAAAGGTTGTTCACGCTTTAATTTGTGAAAAACCACGTTGATTTAGTTATCATACACCAACTAAGAGGTAGTGTAATTAACAGAGAGTGTGAATGTAAACGAAAAAACAAAGTGATTATGAATTCTTTACTTTTTCTATAGAGATTTATCTCGCTTGATTTCCTTATAATTTTATTGATTCAAAATTCTTACATAATATACTTAAGCACCGCGAGTAATCCATTGCATAGATAGCGGAAGTATCGTAATTCCATGCTTCAACGATTGCATAATGAGATGCGGGTAAAGTAACATTTATATCATTATAAATCCGTATATTATCTAAGTATATCTGTTTTTTTTTTTTAGTTTCTCTATAAGAAGAAAATATTTTCGTTACTATTTTTAGCGTTGTGTGTTGTATGTACATACTTAACAAAATTGTATTTACTTTAATTACACAACTATTTAAAAGTTTTTGAAAGTTACAGATAATTGTTAACAAAACGCAAGGTCAACATAAAATAAATTACATAGTTGATAAGGACGAACATTTTTGTACACTGACAATCTACATATCCTGGTTTAACCTGAATTCTACTGCTATAAATCTTAAACTATTTTGGTCAAAAATCCAAACGCGTTTTTTAACAATTCATCTACCACGACATAATTGATAATGAAAAGTCCGTTTAAGAGCATCTAAATCTTGTCTAAATCTCTCCTAAAGCTAGATATCTGATAGAAAAAACACCATTATACTTAACAAGGTAATAGTTATTGTAAATATTTTAATGTTTTTAATGCTTTTGGAACTAGATATCTGTCAATAGAGGTTAGAAACGCCCGTTTTTCGTTTGATAGTTCAATTAAAATGTACATCACCTTACTTATTATAATTTAGTGGAAATTGTCATACAGCTCATTTGGAGGAAACGAAACACGGCTATGAAGTTGAAAAATTTGGTACCAACACAGCGATTATAAAACATAGTTTTTATAATGAAGATATGTGGAAAAAGTATCTGCTATTGCGAAGAATTGATACAAAATGATTGAAAAACATAAATGGAAAATTCATCTAATTATTGATGCAGTTATCATTCAATTGAAATTTTTTCAGTATCTTTGAGTTCTAAAGAACGTGTGTATTTGAAATTTCATTTTGAACACAATTCTTCCAGTTTGTTAACAATATTAATTATACTGTTAATGTCTTTTAATACTCTTTGAATTAGACATCAATCAGTAGAAGTTAGCAACATTCGTCTTTAAAATTAGCCGTTGAATTGAAATGTACATAACCTCAACTTTTATTTGGTAGCAAATGTCATACAGGTTCGGTTATAAAACGTAGCTTTTTATATCTAGGATAGGCCAGCCGTATAAGGTCATATTTAAAAGCAGGGGTGATTGGACCAAGGGTGACCTTCAATTCAAAAGAGGAGCCCTTGCCTGGTACACCGATGTGTCGAAAACAGTTGGATTCGAAGTAAGTATGGGTATTAGTAGACGAAATAGTGCTTCAATAACCATTTTCATGGACAGTCGGGCTGCCCTAAATGCAATTCAGGCCTATACGTGTGACTTTGCACTGATCAGAACACGATAGTGGCAATGATGTTACTCTATGATGGGTTCCAGGTCACAAAGACATTGAAGGCAATGAAAAGACAGACAAGCTGACCCCAAAGAGGCAGCGAGGGCGATCTTTATTGGACTCCAATCTGGCTGTGGACTATAAAAAAGCCAAATAAAACAGGTAATCAATAGTTGGGAGGCCTCAAAGGTAGCCTTACACTGGAAAGAATTTCCAGGTTACAGACAGGCGAAGAATATGATAACTTCGAGAGATGAAAACTGATAACTCCGTTGCAATACAAAACCAAAGAGGTGTTATGCCTCAGCAAAGGGGACCTAAAGCCGCTCTCATGTGTGCGCCCCTAAAATACCACCTCTTCCTCATTGGACGAACTGAGGATCAAACTTTGCAATGACGAGTCAGAGACTGCTGAACATATACTGTGTGAATGCGTCGATAAAGGCAAAAAGTTAAGCAGGAAATTTAAAACAGTAATAAGGGGCATTTCGTGAAACAACATGAAAGATTAAACAGTTTATTAAGAAAAAACTAGTGATAGAAATATATGTACTGAAATATAGGTAAATGTACCGACCTAACTAAAACACCTCAAAAACCTCTCATTATTTTACATTTTGTAATGTATTGTGTACATTTTCAACAAAGTTGTACTTTACAATTTTATTTTACTTGAATTTACTTGATGGGTTGTTTTTCCACTATTGCTTCATCTACACGACGATTTCATTAAGCTTTTTTATCTTTTATTAACAATAAACTAACACTGACGTCGATTCGTTTGATGTTGGCGGCACCTCGTTTAGTGACCTCGATTTAAAATCCGCCATCTTATCGCGAGTTACTAAAAGCACAGAATCAAGGTCCGTTGAGTAAACATAGTGTTAGGTTATCCGTCTTTAGAGACGTGCGGCTAAACTCGAATGATTCTAGTTCTAGGTATACTGTTAGTTCTATATAGTAACAGTGCTAGTGTAAAACTAGAACTAACTCCAATGATTCTAGTTCTAGGTTTAGTGTTAGTAACACTAAACCTAGAACTAGAACTAGAACTAACAATGATTCTAGTTCTAGGTTTAGTGTTAGTAACACTAAACCTAGAACTAGAACTAGAACTAGAACCATTGGGGTTAGTTCTAGTTTTACACTAGCACTGTTACTATATAGAAACACAGACACTAACTAGTATACCTAAGGACTAACAGTATACCTAGAACTAGAATCATTCGGGTTTAGCCGTCTTTAGAGACGTGCGGCTAAACCCAAATGATTTTAGTTCTAGGTATAGTGATACTTCTACATAGTAACAGTGCTAGTGTAAAACTAGAACTAACATTAAACCTAGAATTAGAATCATTCGGGTTTAGCCATCTTTAGAGACGTGCGGTTAAACCCTAATGATTCTAGTTCTAGGTATAGTGTTAGTTCTACATAGTAACACTGCTAGTGTAAAACTAGAACTAACACAATACCTACAACTAAAATCATTCGAGTTTAGCTGTCTTTAAAGACGTGCGGCTAAACCCAAATGATTCTAGTTCTAGGTATTCTGTTCGTTCTACATAGTAACACTGCTAGTGTAAAACTAGAACTAACACTATACCTAGAACTAGAATCATTCGGATTTAGCCGTCTTTAGAGACTTAAATAATAATTGGAATTAATATAAACGTGTATGTAACATATAAATGAAACTCAACCAGAAGGAAGGATACCTTTACACGTTAAGGAGAGGAATAACAGAAAGGAAAAATTAGCAACGCCGGGACTCGAACCCATATCTCCCGTTTGCCGGATGGTTGCATTGACCTCTCTGCTACGCCACAAGGTGTAGGTAAATTAACAGACAAGGATTCCTTTCAACCTGTACATTTTCTGGACCGCATCAATGTCATTCACATGCAATTAAAGGACCAACGTCACAAGATTTTAATTCCGGAGAAAGCCGGAATTAGACTTTAGAGACATGCGGCTAAACCCAAATGATTCTAGTTCTAGGTATTCTGTTAGCTCTACATAGTAACAGTGCTAGTGTAAAACTAGAACTAACACCATACCTAGAACTTGAATCCGTCTTTAGCCGTCTTTAGAGACGTGCGGCTAAACCCAAATGATTCTACTTCTAGGTATAGTGTTAGTTCTACATAGTAACAGTGCTGGTATAAAACTAGAACCAACACTATACCTAGAACTAGAATCGTTCGAGTTTAGCCGTCTTTAGAGACGTGCGGCTAAACCCAAATGATTCTAGTTCTAGGTATCGTGTTAGTTCTACATAGTAACAGTGCTAGTATAAAACTAGAACCAACACTATACCTAGAACTAGAATCGCACGTCTCTAAAGACGGCTAAACCCGAATGATTCTAGTTCTAGGTATTTTGTTAGTTCTACATAGTAACAGTGCTAGTGTAAAACTAGAACTAAGACTATACCTAGAACTAGAATCATTCGGGTTTAGCCGTGCGTCTGAAGACTAAGTCTAGTGTTAGTTCTAGTTTTAATTGTTATTAAGCGTTATATTGTTGTATAATTTTATTGAAGTCGTTGAAAGGTTAAATATACGTATTAGACAAGTACGTATATTAGATTATATAGTAGAACTACAATCATTTCTGTTTAGCCGTCTTAAAAAACGTACAGGTAAATCCGAATGTTTCTAGTTCCATAATATAATAAATTCCATATAACCAATACTCAACGGACCTTGGCACTGAATAATCAGAAGTGACATTAGCGGTGTCCCGCCAAATCTTTACCACCACTAACAACATTCCTTGGTAACTCGCTATAATATGGCGTCAGATTTGGCGGGATACTGCCACTGTCACTTCTGGTTATTCTGTGATAATACTAAGGTTCATCAAGAACCTACATTAGCTATCGCTCGCAAAAAAAACTTTCGTTCTCAAATGCAAAAGTATCATTTCGCTATCTTGTATCAAAAATAACTAGTAGAATTAGATATAAGTCAATAAAGATTAGAAACGCCGTTTTTCGTTGTTTTCGAAACCAGATTATTAGTTACTAATTTACAAAATTAAAGTTTAAACAGTTGTAAAATGAAATTAAGGACGAAGTGTTACAAGTTTACAGGTTAAAATTTAAGAACGCTCGTTTTTAACGAAAGAAATGTTAAGAAACTTGGGAAAAATTCAAGAATCATCATGTGGCTTAAAAATCGACGATTTTTTTTAATCAATATGAAATAACCCAAAAAACACGTAAAAATAAAAAGACAGTGCGGAAAAGTGACTAACACTAGATTAATTTCAGTTATAAAACTTTTATTATATGATAACTAACTTCAGGTTTAAAATGTTAACCTCAATTTTGACATATTTGTAATCTTCATTAAAAATTCTTTAAAATGAGTACCAACACGATATATTTATCTTCAATATTAATGAATTATGGTCAACTTCCTGTTGGAATGTCAACGTCAATTTTGACATATTTGTAATCGTCGTGAAAAATCCTTTAAAATGAGTGCAAACATGATACGTTTAATTCCAATATTAATCGAGATATAAGCAACTTCCGGTTTGAAGTGTCAATGTCATTTTGACATATTCTTAATTTTTATAAAATGTCTTAATATTTGTCACAAAAACAAAAATATAATTAAAAAAAAATAAAAAATTAAGGTTGATATTAATATTTAAAAATTAAATTGCTATCTTCATTGTTGCTAACTTAGTGTTTAATGTTTATTATTTTATCTTTTTTGTTTTTTGAGATAAGTGTAAGTTTTTTAATGAAGATGACAAATGTGACGTTGACGTTTCGAACCGGAAGTGATTGTATTTCCATTAATATTAAAGTTATATATCGAGTTTGGACTCATTTTAAAGGATTTTTTATGAAGTTGACAAATATGTCAAAATTAAAAGTTGAAACTTGAACTTTTTGTTTTTTTGAGATAAATTCATCAAGTTTGGACTCACTTTAAAGGTTATTTTATGAAGATTACGAATATAATAATAAAATTAAAGTTGACATTGACAACTGAAAGTTTTTCTCACGACTAAACCCGAATGTTTCTAGTTTTAGTTCAATAAAAATATACAACATAGTAATATCTTATGCTAATTAGCGTCGTTTGTAAAACGGATAAGATGAGAGATGTTAATCTATTATAGAGTCTCTGAAGATGGCCAAGGTCCGAAACTAGTTAGACTTAAATTCTATATAAAATAAAAGACATAAACTTTTAATGTTATAGTAACATCTAAAAAACGACACTGGCTCGAAATTGTAGGTTCGTCTATTTTTTCTATAGTAGAATTTCTTGGTGTATCTAAGTGTCGTATCTAAGTCGGTTCTTAGACGTATGATGCAAATTGGACTTGAAATCGTATAACCTGATTGGCGCTTAGCTTTATCTTTTAAAACAAATAGTATTTTAGGTCTTTCGGTCTCCAAAAACGATAAAATGTCGCTTAGTCAAGTGATGTATAACGCGGTCCAATTAGTTAATGAAATATGTTATACAGCCTGGTCATAAAATGTAGCTTCTAAAGTGTTGTTTTAAATAAAATTTTGACACTGATTACAAAAAAAGGACAATAACTTCGTTTGGATAAAAATCGTATATACCTGAAGTGGTACTTAACGTAAATATCGAGCCTGATTCATATAAATTTGCATTTTAAATAAAGAAGATTGTTAGTCATTAAATAGCGGGATTAAACAGAAACTATTCAAATGATGTATAATTCTTAAAATGAAATTATACGGTTTTTTAAAATTTTATACTGCCTTATCCATCGATTGAAGTTTTGGAAATGTTGTCATAAAAATACAAGAAAGTTGAGTATAGGCCACACCACTTCATATTATCTTTATATAAAGAATTTTAAATTAATATATTTTGCGATAAAATCTTAACAAGTCGATAAACTTTCGTTTAGATAAATTTTCTGACTGTTAAAAATTTTTCAATTTATTAATTTTTTTATATCCAATTTGCCATTTCTTAGATACGTTATCTTTTCTTGCAAAATGTGGTCGTTATTTCGTGATTATAAGCTGCTTAAAGAAATCTATTAAATGGTAATTGTTGGTTAATGATTACTGATTCTTCAATTCTTTGTTCGTATCAATAATTTCACAATAACGTCTTAGTTATAAATTATTTCTTTAAACCGTTATCCATGTCAAAAATTTAAAATAAAGTTTTGAAATTTTCTTCGAGTTAGTAACCTTTACTGTATGTATAATTCTACGTCTATAAAGTGTTTCGAGGCTAGACGTGACTTCAATGTCTTTAGTCATTACTATAATTTCAAGTTTTCAAGGTTTATAACAATATTTGTTTAAATCTCACGCGGTATTGTTATCTAAAAGGTTGAAAATAATAAGTAGAACATAAAACTCTCCTTTTTATTGTCAATCAAAACGAGTACTTTTTTGCTTTCGATTGTTAAAGTTAAAAACAATCTACGTCATAAAATTTCCATGTTTTAATGTACTGAAAATTGTTTTACTAGATTTATACTATACTTTAGATTTTTTTTGGGATTAATAAAAATTATTTAGCTTCATTGGAAATGCGACAAAATTGTTCTTTTAGAATTTACAAAATTTATTTTGCAAGATTTATTGCAGCCGGTGTTTATCATTTTAGCTTTACACGTGATTCAAATCTAAACAAATTCCGTTTTGTCTTTGCGTTATATTTGAAACACAAACAGGTGATTTCAAAATAAATTTTAATCTTTGATTTTAAAGTTTCAAAAAGAGCGACCAAAAAAAATCGTTAAATATAAAGTTTTATACTTACAATTAAATTAATTGACACTTAATCCAAGAATTAATTCTTTATTTAAAAAATTAAAATTAACGAGTTCAATGAATTCGGGTACCGAAATGGCATTGAAACTACACATCTAAAAATAAAACAAAATTTTCGCGGAGTTTTCGTGTTTTTTTGATTGTTTTTCGGTCAGCCGGTGCAAGAACATGCCGTTTCTCCGCTCGGTCGTCTCATCAAAATCGGTCACTTTCATACAAAATTTCTCAATGTTTTTGTATCACTCAATTTACAATCTTCAAATCACTTCAAAATCAACGCTGGTCATTCACTGTTCGTCGATAAACGAGACACTAAATCGAAATGTTGGCACCCGACTTACCGCGAACCTTTTATTGTGTGTTGCAACTTTTAGCACCGCACAAAGATACCTTAATGTATACCTGGTGTGAATACACAGAGTGAGAGAGAAACTTCGAGGACGGACCGAGGTTCGGTCACGGACTGAGTTTTGTTCGTGTTTGAAGCGCTTTTCATACTTATTTCGTTGTCCGGGAGGTGAAACAACACGAACGGATACGGAACCGTCAAGGCTGAGTCAGATTATTATAACAAGAAGATAAATAAGTTATACATAATCGCATTAAGCAAAACTAGAAATCATTATTCATTAATTTTGTCATATTTATTTATATTAAACAAGTTTGGGATTTTTTAAAAATATTATTCGTTGAAAATCCATTTGCGCAGTCGTGTTATACTTTGCAGAAGTACAAAGCGTTAATGGACATGCACGAAAATATATTAGTTGATAATATTTTAGTTTATTATTTGTGCAGAAGACTTCGTCGAGTTCCGCTTCTTTTAACTCTTACTGGTGCAGTGGTACAAAAAATAAACCATCTAAATTTTCACCCAACTGTCGCAATGGTCTATAATGTAGACCACTAATTCAAAATTATTTTCCTACTTTCGCAGCCGCGAATATTGATGTAGATGAAGATATAGGGCAGGCATGTTAAACTCATATGGTATTGCGGGCCACATGATCTATTTTGTACTAAGTTGGGGGCCGCATGTTTTTACTGACCAAAATATTAATAAAATATGATTGTTAGAATGATTATATTATGTATTTATTAAACTCAATGTTTTTTTTTAACAAAACCTAAAATATTTTCATCGATATTTTATATTTTGTTATTCTTAACATGTAAACTAGAAATATTGTATATTAAAAAACACTAAATTAAATGTTTTTATAAACAAAATTTAATACTACTTAGTAAACACAGTTTAATATTACTTTTTAGAAGATACTTGACATCGTTTGTTGCAAACCAAGTCATCAATATTTGGTTGAATATCTTGAGCTGATGCAATTTTTAAAATTGATGATACATGTTGATCGGTTAATCTTGACCTTTCTGAAGTTTTGTTATTTTTCAGTATAGAAAATAGTTGCTCGCATAAATAAGTGCTTCCGAACATAGACAGTATACGCGTAACATTTTAGGAAATCGATCTACAGATAAATATGTATAAAATTCTGGAATTCCAACTTCCACACATTTTTCGTTCAGCAAAGAATCACATCGGATATCAATTAATTCCATTTGTAAATTTTCGTCAACAATTTCAATATCGATAGATAAAGGTGAAGTAAAAAGACGAAATTGTACTTCACAGCTTTTAAAATCAGAAAATCGTCGATCGAATTCCATTTCTAACAATTTAATTTGGTGAGCATATTCTGTAAATTTTAATTTAGGTGTTTTAAGTAGTAGACTCGAAAGCCATCGAACTTTTGTATAATATGGTAGATTAGTGTATTCACATTCTATATCTTCCAAAAATAAAGCAAATTGACGATGATTTACAATTTTGGTGACTATTTTTAAAACATGTCCGATATTTAAAACTTTGGAGCACAGTACTTGCTGCTGAATGATACAGTGAAAATGTTCTAAATTATTGTTACCATGCTGTTTGCATGCTTCTTTTAATCTTGCAACAACTCCCTTAGTAATACCGGTCATGGTAGGTGCACCATCAGTTGCAAGACAAACCAACTTTTCCAATGGCAACTTATACTTCTTCAAAACGCATCAAAAATATCAACTCCGGTAGTTGTATTATGCATAGGAATGACTTCCAAAAGTTCTTCACTTACTTTTAAATTAACACCGCGTCCGCGAATAAAAACTGCCAACTGAGAGACATTTGGAATATCTGTACTTTTATCAATTGCAACAGAGTAGGCTTGAAATGTTGATATTATTGAATTATGCTGACATCTCAAATTCTCGGTTATTTCGTCAACTCTGTTAGCTACAGTATTATGACGTAAACTTACACTTTTAAATTTTTTTATTTGTTGTGGACATAATTCTTCTGCCGCTTTAATTAACCATTCGCTAATAAATTCCCTTTCAGTGAATGGTTTCGATTGGCTTGCGATTAAATGTGATAGTACATAACTAACTTTTACAGCAGCTGTACTGTCTTCAACAGATCTAGTGAATAGACTTTGTTGTTTTTGAAGAATTGATTTCAACTCCGACAATTTGTCTTCACGAAATTTTCCAACGTATTGATCATACTGTGTTTTGTGATTTGTGTCGTAGTGCCTTTTAAGATTGTATTCCTTGGCAACTGAAATAGTGTTTTTACATATCAAACATAATATTTTATTCTTGTTTTGGACACAAAAATATTGCAATTGCCATTTTTCCTGAAAATTACGATGTTCCTCTTCAATTGACCTTTTTTTACTCATTGTTCTTGAAGTTTGTCTGTTTTTTTATTAAATAACTTTTTAATTTACTATCCACGTTAGAGCTTAAAATATCGTTCCCAAACGATTGAAGAAACACTGTACCTTGCGATCACTTGTACAAACATGTACCGTGGCTCCGTTCGCATTCGTCCACTTCTTTTCGTTTCGCTTGTTGCGACAGCGCACAGCGTCCCAAGTATTCATGCAACAACACGCGATGCCAGCGTCAACTACAAAGTTCAAACTACAAACTCCAATGCTTGATATCAACTAATTGAATAATCACTAATTAATTTAAACTGCACACTGTAACTGCATTAAACTGAACTGCTACAAATAAAAACAAAATTTACTTTTAAACTATAAATTAATATACAGGGTGATTCACATAAGAACCGACACAGAGCAGGGACATGTAGAGGACAATAAATTAAGATGATTTAACGCAACTTATCTCTATACTAAGTTGTACCCCTGAGGAGTTATAGGCCTTCAAAGTTGGGTCTTAAATTTTTAAAACATTGAATATCTTCGTAATACATTAAGCTAGAAAAACCAAATTTGGTATACGTTATGAGTGTACCGAAGGTATTCATTAGTAGCAAATTGCGATCAATTGAGGCATTTCAAAGGGTTGATTAAGGGTGATGGTCCCCTAAATTGCGATAGATTTTTTTAACCTTTTGGTGGATTAAATACATTATTACCTCATTTCATGTGGAATTTAATTCTAAATCTTTTTTTACTCCTATTATTTTTTAAAAAAAATTGTCGTTTTCGCTTATTTTAAGTAACATTACGAAATAAGTGTCTTTAGTTATTTAAATTTTTTATGAAAACTACAAAGTTTTTTAAAAAATAATAAGAGTAAGAAAAGTTTTAGAATTAAATTCCACATGAAATGAAGTAGTAATGTATTAAGTTCGTCAAAAGTTTAAAAAGATCTGTCAAAATTTAGGGTACCATCACCCTTAATCAACCCTTTGAAATGCCTCAATTGAGTTCAATTTGCTACCAATTAATACCCTTGGTCCACTCATAACGTATACCAAATTTGGTTTTTCTAGCTTAATTTATTACCAAGATATTGAACTTTTTAAAATTTTAAGAGCCAACTTTGAAAGCCTATAACTCCTAAGGTGTACAACTTAGTATAGAGGTAAGTTACTTTAAATCATCTTAATTTATTGTCCTCTACATGTCCCTGCTCTGTGTCGGTTCTTATGTGAATCACCCTGTATATTATTAAAAAAAATTTTAAACGTCTCGGCGGGCCGCAATTTATGTATTGGTGGGCCGCGTGTTTGACATGCCTGATATAGGGTAAACACGCCAGTGGTCGACCACTTAAGACATATTTCAAAGTTAAACGCCGATAACAATAGAACTAAAGGCATCATGAACTGATCTTTTTAAATTAATATAGGTAAAACATTTCTTTTTGGAAATCTGCAATCGATTCATGCTACAATAATATAAAAATAAAATTATCCTAAGATACGTTCAAAATGACTTAATATGCCAGTAGTCGACCACTTCCTCCTTCGAGTCGACCAGTATAAGTTCAGTGGTCGACCGGTATTTCTTCAGCCTGCAGTCAATTTATTTTTTATCATTTGTATTTAAGTTTGTGTAAATTCGTTAAGAGAAAAATTATAATTTTTCAGTAAATTGATTTATAAAAATCAATTAAAAATTCATGTTTTAATTTTTTATTTTGTCATTTTAGTTATATTTTTTTTTACAAAATTATAAGCAGAAGGAACACTTATAATTCTTGAACTGCACTTCCTCGTGCTAAGTCCTATGAATACCGTACACATTAGGTGGTACCATCTTGTGCACACATCACAGCCGATATTCTTCATCTCATCTTCTTCGACATCGCTAATAAGCTCTTCATCACATTCAGAGCATTTTATGGCTTTTCTGGATTTTTTGTTAATTCCTCCCTTTTTTTCATCATCGCATACCATCTTCTTTTTTTCCGATAGATTCTTTTTTTTCTCTGCCCTTACAGCCCTTTTTTCCATTTTTCTATTCTCTTCTTCCTTTTTCTTGTTTTCTTTATTTTTTTAAATATTTCCTATATGCTACTGATGAAATAGCTGACGGTAACTTTTCTCTGGTTTTTCTGTTTGTACAAATAGACGCAGGCCAGTTGTGAACGCAGAAAAGCGAATGCAAATAAATCATTTAAGCACAAATATTACAGTTAGTTTGCTATTCTAGGACCATAAAGTGGTCCTTCTTACAGGTCGTACTTACATATCCTGCAAGTTTGCTCTTTTGTCTCTGTGATGTATTTCTCGTCTCTGTCTGGTTGCTTCAGAAATTTGGCGAACGTATTCTTACTTCACTAATGCAAATCTTATTACGGCCGTACGTTTGCAATTCTGCTTGTTGGCCAATTTTTATTCCCGTCACATCCATAATCTTAAACATTAGTATAAATCCGTTGTTAAAGATTATAATAGCGAAAAGGTTGAACCTTCAATTGTTATCATTATTATTTACTCATTATTATTTTTTTTGGGATTCTGCACCCAAGCAACGTTCGAGCAGCTCATTATGGGATAAATGTTGATAAATTGGTTTTTAATTCATCCAATACCTGTAAAGTGAGTTTATTTACTGAGTTTGACTTGAGTGACGGAAACTGTCAAGTGTGCCAGCGGCCTCAGCTTTACACCATTTATACCAACTGTCTTCGCCTTTCGGACAGTT